GTAATAAAGTAAATCTTGAAGTCAATGGAGTATGTCCTTCAACTTTGTTATCTTTTCCCAAATTGTTTTGTCTAGTCTACATAAATTTTATAGTGATTGTCAAAAAAAAAAAAGCCTCATGACCATTTGATTGGATTTCTTTGATCTGTATTAGTTGGGAGAAATTATCTTTAAAAAACAATCTCATTTAAAACAACATCAAAAAGAATAAAATACTTAGTAATAACTTTAACCAAGGAGGTAAAAGGTCTGTACACTGAAAACAATAAGGTATTGATGAAAGAAACTGAAGAGGACACAAATAAATAGAAAGATATTCTGTGTTCATGGACTGGAAGAATTAATATTGTTAAAATGGCCATACTACCCAAAGTGATCTACAGATTCAATGATACCCCTATCAAAATTCCAATGGCATTTACCACAGAATTAGAAAAAAATCCTAAAATGTGTATAGAACCACAAGAGATCCCAAATAGCCAATGTAACCTTGAGAAAGAAGAACAAAGCTGGAGGTATCACAAGTCTTGATTTCAAACTCTGCTACCAAGGTATAGTAATCAAAATAGTATGGTATTGGCATAAAAACATATATGTAGATCAATGGGACAGAATAAAGAGTCCAGAAATAAACTGATGCTTATATAGTCAATTTTCAACAAAGGAGCTAAGAATATACAATGGGGAAAGGATACTTTCTTTAATAAACGGTGCTGGGAAAACTGGATAGCCATGTGCAAAAGTATGCCATTGAGCCTTTATCTTATATGACTCACAAAAATCAACTCAACATGGATTAAATACTTGAACATACGACTTGAAGCCATAAAACTCCTAGAAGGAAATAGGAGTGCTTAAATTATAGGGGCAAAGGCCAAACTCCTAGGGTCAACAATTTCACAGTTCAGCTCTAGAAGATGATATTCAGTCAAACTCTATGTGTATCATTTTCCTGAGTCGTGCAGCACAATCCTTGGTGGAGTGCATGGCAGATCTGAGAACACCGGGCCTCAGTTAAGTGAAACCCCTATTCAGCTAGTTGGAAATTTAGCACAAAGCTAGAAGACACTTCCCATCTCAATAAGCATGTAGCTTACTGGAAATTCATCCTTCTTGTTTCCTCTTGGGTAATCCGTCAAACTCAAGACAATCACAGAAATTAGAGAGTTAAAATTCAGAAGAGGCCACGCTTTGAAAGTGCTGGAGTGAGCTGAAATAATCATCCATTTCTGGAAGGTGAACCATTGTGTGAGGTTACCACAGGCCGTAGAGTCAGATTGTGCAGATTTGAGTCTTGGCTCTGCCTCTCGTTAGCTGTGCGATCTTAACTTCTCTGTGCCTCAGTTTCCTCATCCATAATATGGGTATAAAGATTGTACTGTCATTATGTAGTTGTTGTAAGGAATACAAATGTGAGTTAATACGTAAAGGGATAATGGAATATATAAAATGAGCTACTACATAAATAGAGACTTGGAAGAGTATCTGGCATTCAGGATACATTCCAATGTTAGCCATTTTATAATTATCTTTATTTAAAAACTATTAATAGCCTGTTAGGTGGTTCCTGTATAACCTCAGGAAGTAAAGACATTTTCCCTTGGTTACATTGTTTCAGTTCTTTATCTGTGCCCAATCCTACAGGGCTTTGCTGTCAGCCAAGTTTCCAAGCTGCAAATTGAATTGATAAAATAATCCCCTGTGATTGCTTGAGATGTTTCTTCCCAGGAACATTTGCATTTTTTTAGGAAACTCTGGAAGATATACAAAAACTCCCTAGTTCTAATAAATTAATTGCTCTTTCATGCTTTTCAGGCAGGTCTGCTATGCTGCACAACTCCAGGGGGTGCCCTACTTGGCAGCCAGTGAAGGAAAGAATTTGGTATAGTAGTTTTCAAAACTTGCTCACTGGGATCTCTGGGGTTATGGAGGGAGTAGAAAGAACTCAAAGGACCCTACTTTCCCCTCCCACTTGTAGGATCTTTTATCTGATTTCATATTGGACATCTGTCTATTTTAAAAAGAAGGTTTCTAGTGCACAGGTTTAGCAGTAGGATTCTCCTTTTTTTAATGAAGGAATTTATAGAATGGAAATATATTCTCACCAGGAGAGTGTCTAAATCCCTGTGGCTTTGTCAAAACTAGCCTGCTCTGGGAGAGTGCATGAAAGCTTCATGATCCAGCAGCCTGTTACTGTCCACAATGTGCATCTTCCCTTCACCTCTGCCGGCTGATTTGGACCCCACAAGGCTTGGTAAAAACCAAGCATCATTGTGTGATTGACACAGTGAATACTGAGACAGCTGAATTCCTCAAATGCCGAAGGTCTCTTGAATTTTCTTTCCACAAATATTGTTGTTGAAATCCCAAAGGACTTACGTAAAAGTTGAAAATAATTTATTTTTTTTAATCATGGAAACAGTAAAACAAAATTCCCACATTCTCTCCATTCTCTACTTTTGATCTTTAGAATCTTACCTTTTAGCCTTTCAGTCTTTTTTTTCTTTTTTTTTACATTCACACATCATGCACACCTTTTGAATATTCACTATTATTCACTATAATGTATTAAATTCACTATTAGAACTGGGAGAGGACTTATAAAGGGCATCTTGAACAACCTCCTGCCAGGGAAGAGATTTCCCTTCATCATATGTCATAGAAGCCTACATTTTAAAATGCTATAGATGGAAATATATTGTAAAATTTCTTTAAAATACAGAGCACATCCTATAGAGACTGGCATCTGAAAATTGCCTGAGTTAAGTTACATAAAATGCCTGAGGTGGTGTGAGGTAAAGGTCAGGTCCTCATGTAAAAATGACAGGAAACATTGCAGTTCAGCAGAGGAAGGATTGCAGGGGTGGAAAGAATGCCTGCACAACCAGGTGTTGTCTGTTTTCATCAAAAGCCTTATTTCTCCTTCCAGTGAGTAGATCTAATCGCCATCCACTCTGCTCTTCTAACCAATTATGTTCAATGCTTCTGATACTTCCCTGCTTCACTGGCCTTCAGTGGTACATGATCAACACAGAACATAGAAAGCCCCTCCTAGTTCATACCTGGGAACAGCCAGGCCACATAGCTGGGTAGGTTGTTGGTTGTGCTTTCAAGGTGGAAAGAGATCAAGAACTGGCCACAGTCCCCAGTCCCAACCAACCCTTTAAACAGATTCAGAAGGGAGCTTGTAGTTGCGTTTGCATCTGTGAATTTTGCAGTTTTCTTGTGTGGGTGGCTCCCCACCTTGCAGTGGAGTAATGGAGCATAGGAGGGAACACATTCGCAAAGTTTTCAGGCCAACATCATCCCAGTGTAGTGACCTCCTGGATGGAAGACAGAGCCTTTCTGGCCAGAAGTATGTATGTAAAACCCCAGAACAGGTTCTTACTGACTCGGACTGTAGTCTAAATCTGGGCTAATCACCACAGCCAGCATTACTAGGGTATTGTGATTTGCCCAGATTTGGTTCCAAGGCCACCTCTAGTGACCAGGGTATCAGCTTGTTATGAGTGACAACTCCACCAAAACTGGGTAGAAATGATAAAGGGAAGTTCATAAGAGCACAGAGGTTATTGCTGACAGACGTGAGAGGTGATGCTGTACATATAAGAGCAGCGGCTGTCCCTACATCCCTTTGCACACCGGAGTCCCCTGGGAAGATTTAAAAGCTACTGCTGTCTGAGTCTCACACCCAGTGATTCTGATTTAATTCTTCTGGGGTATGGCCTGGGTTTGGGGTTTTAAAAATCTCCCCAGGTGATTCCATTGTGCAGCCAGGGTTGAGGACCTCCCTGACCAGTTGCTTTTCCAGGTCATCATTTTACACATTACCAAAAATTAATTATTCTAAGTCTCAGTTCTCTGCACCAAACAAATCCCTGATTCAACACGAGTCAAGACTCACTAAAATTTGACTTCAGCTTCCCTTTCTAGTCTTACCTTCTGCTACTGTTTTAGTCTCACACTATGGGCCAGCAGATGTGGAATGTTTGCTGGTTTCCAAACACCTGTACAACACCTGTAGTTTCTCATGATTATCCCATTTCTTCAACTTAAAACAGAGCTGTCCAAAGGAGTCTTTGAAGTGATGGACATGTTCTTCTCCATTTCCCAATATGGTAGCCACTAGTCACATGTGGCTACTGAGCACTTGAAGTAAGGCTACTGTGATTGAATTTTAAATTTCATTTCACTTTACCTAACTTTAATTTAAATAGCCACATGTGGCTAGTGGCTACTTTACTCAGACAGGGCAGATAGAATGTTTTGTTCAATGTATCTCAGCCAACATTCTATCAGAATTTAGAAGGGCCATTCTGTGTAACCCTCTTGCCTTGAGGTTTTCCCAGAAATCTCCAGCTGAAAGACTTCTCTTCATTGTGTTAATTACTAAGCACTGTCATTGGACCCTAGAAGTGTCCCTTCTCTATCCTGTCTCATATTATGCTTTCTGTCACTTCTGCCCTCACCTGAGATGTTAGAAATTCATTGACAGAAGGGACTGACTAGAGAGCTTATGCTTAATAAAAACTCAGTGAACATTTGTTGAATAAATGCAGACAAAATTGCACCAACCATAAATGTCTGGATGTATTTATGTTCTGTGGAAGGCATACACATTACCAGGCAACAAATATATACCCGTTGAGGTTCAAGTGTTCAAAAATGTCACCAGTTAGATGGGAAGGCACGTGTCCTGGCTGTGTGAGAGAAACTGGGTCAGTAATATAGGTAGGAGAGAATGACTAATCTATAAAGTGACCGCAGGTGTTAGCCTATTTTATTTGACTTGGAGGCAAAAATAATTGTGGAGATCGGAAGTGCTAATGATTTTTATTAGAGGAAATGAGGGGGCATGGCCACTCAGAATACACTGGAACACTTCATGAAGAATCCTGGGATCAGTCCTGGTGAAATAGTCATACATACATCCTGACCCACGCTTTTTCCCAGAATTAGTTTGTAAAATGATGAACTCTCACTTCCCAAATTTTCTGCAGATGCTACTGTTGCTGGGGAAATGTCACTGTTAGAGAATAGAAAACTATTATTCCAAAGAGTATTGAAGACTGACTGAATCGGGTCTGGAACATTATTAAAATGGTAAGATAAACCCAAGTACTTTCTGATAAAAGAAAAAGTCTTTTTTAAAAATGTGGTCCCTTCTGAATTATGGCCAAATGTTACCGAGTCATTTTCAGTGAAATTTTATCTATTAACGGCGAGGAGATGGGATGAGGTTCTGGGCACCTCCTGGGAGCCCCGCAGCTGAGGCTGCTCTCCCTTGAGATTGCTGGTAATGGAAGCAGCTGAAGCTGGAGGTCATTAACATTTTGAGAACACCACAAACTGACACTGTGTAATATTATGACATTTCATCCCAAGACATTTAATCTCTTTTAATCAGTGTTTATGTTGGGGATACTTCACAGTTATTTGC